GGTGAATCACGCCCCCGTTTGTTTTACAAATTGGATGACGGAGCCTCTCAGATTAACCAGAAAACAAAACCAAAACCAAAACCCAAGTCCACCACCGACTCATGCCCAGACTGGAGGAGGGCCAGCTTCAGTCCAGGGCTCAGCTCCGGGCATCTGATTTGCCCCGAAGGTGACCACCCGCCTCCTCAGGAACACCCTCCCCGTTCCCTGAGCTCCGCATTGGCAGTGGGGGCAGTTGTCACCTGGGGGCCGGAACCCCACAAGACCACGAGGAGTCTCTGGAGCACTCTCCCCCCTGCCCCCAAGGCCTGGGCTCCCCTCCCCCGCCCCGGCTCCCAGTCCAGACCCGAAGGCCAGGTCGAGCCGGCAGTTCGAGTCCCTCAGTTGGTGAGGAAATGGTCCTCCTGCCCCCTCACTGCTGGGGCGACCTCAGGGCTCCGCCCAGAACTGAATCAGACTCCCCGTGGGTGGGCCTGGGCTTGGGCAGTTTGAATGCATTTCCAGAAGATTCTTCCTTGGGTCAGGTGCTCCACTCTCCTCTCCCTGGCCAGCAGGCACCCACACTCCCGAAGCTCTTACTCCAGCCCTGACGAGGCATTTCCTTGCCCAAGGGAACCTTCCCGTGCAAGCCCTGAGGGCGTCATCAGGACCCAGCATCCTTTTGTGGGCTGCCCCTGCCCCGGCCACTGGGTCCACTTCTCAGGGCACCACCACCTGCCCCAACCTCTCAGCACTGCCCCCTCTTTCTTCCCCATCTGCATGCCAGGCCCCAAGTACCCTGGAACCCGGTCCTGCTCGCCCTCCGCCTCCGTGCACTGTCCCGAGCCCCCTCCATTGTCCCGCCCTGGCCCATTCAGGCAGCCCGAGCCGGGTCCCCTTCTCCCTTCTCCAGGTCTCAGGCAGCCAGAGCAGCAAATCCGATCACACCGCCTCCCACCGGCACCTCCTCATGAGCAGAGCAAGCGACTCAGCCGCTCAGTGATGTTCCTCTTGGCTCTGCTGTCGGCTACGCCAGTGTCACTGTGATGGTGTGACAGCCCTGGGAACAAAGTAGAGGACGATGGGTCCTTACTTGTGTCCCTACCCTCTGCTGTGGGAGCGAGTCACAGAGCCCTCACGGCACCTGGGAAGGAGGTGCCAGGACGTGCCATCTTGTAGATGGGTTCAATCGCCCAACGTCACCTCAAGCAGCTGCCGAGTAGCAGAGCTGCTGGCAGAGGAGAGAAAGCAGCTGTGCAGGCTGCTGGGCACACCTCCTGGGCATCGCTGTGCTGCGGACTAGTGCTGATCCCGAGGGGCCTGGGTGGCCTGGGAGCCCTTGGAGCCGGTCCCTCCAGCCGGAAACCCCCTGGAAGCAGGAACACTGACCCAGACTTAGCGATGAGCAAGGTTTTACTCACAACAATGTTACTTCGATCCACACAAACAGGCCAGATGGCGGCTTATGCTCCCAGCCCTCGTAAACTCAGAACATCAATAAAATGACAAATTAGAGAGATGCCTGCAAATAGGATACAGTTTAGATGAATAGCATAATTAAACGGTTAATTTAATGGGAGGTATTTAATTGCTGTAAAACAGACATAAAATGTACCCCTTTCAGCCATGTTTAAACATCACTGAGCTGGCTCACAATGTTGTACAACCATCGCCACCCTCCAGCCCCGAGCTCTGCCGTCTCCAAGCAGCTGCTCCAGCCAGCAGCACATGCAGTTTGGTGGGACAAAGTTGTCACCTCGTGTCTACACCGTCATCAGGAGGCCTTGTGCCCCCTGGAGTCTGGGGTGACACAAACGGCCGATGGTTTTCTATTTAACCCAAACCAGGAAAGCTGCACCCACGTCACGTGGCTCTCTCAACCAGGACCCCACTCACCCAGAGTCAGCTTCTGTTCCTGGTGACAATGTGGGGGGTACACACGTGTGTCTCTGGTCAGTGTCTTAATTTAGTCAGACTTAAACACTGAGGGCTTCTTTGATAAGGGATTTCCATTGCAGATCTTCCCTGTAAGAGACAAGTTCTGCCTTTGTATCTGCAGATGGAGGCTGGGCACTTTCTCAGGAGCACGTGACCCCAGCATGTCTGCTGTCCAGTTCCAGACACAACCCACACAGCAACCCCAGGGTTAGAAAGCGGTCCGAGCGATGACTCAGAAGGGTTATCATGGAAATAAAAATGCAAGACAGAAAAATGTGCAGAGAGCTTGCAGCTCTAAAAATACATTCCGGGGTCTGGGGATGGGGGATGGGTTAGAAGGGCTGGGATGGGCAGGAAAGAGCAGAGCCTGGTGTCCAGCAAGGGGGTGAGGCTCACAGGGGGAGGGGGGGCGCGCAACAGCAGGAGAGAGGTGGGAAGGAGATGCCTGAGAGGTAGTCTGGCCTAGAGGAGCGGGTGCTGTTATACATTGGACAGGTAGCCCCGGGCAGGAGGCGGCTCAGGTCTGCACTTTAGGTGACTGGGCAGGTGGTGGTCCCAGGCACAGAACTGGGCAGGGATGGCATGGGGGATGCTGAGCTTGAGGTCTGCGGCAGGTACAATGCCTGCCCCCCAAGGTGCCCACGTCCTAGCCCCCACAACCTGTTATGTTCTCCTGCATGGCAAAAGGCGTACTCCTGGCAGCGGACAATATGGGTCGGGGTGCCTTAGGGAAAGATGCAGGAGGAATCAGGGACCTGGGGTGAGCGAGGCCAAGGGCCCCTGCTCCCTCAGGGACCCAGAGGGCTGTGGACGGGTGCTGGGAGGGGGTGTGCGGGAATGGCCAGTGGAAGGAAACAAAGAGCATTTCGAGGAGAGTGGTTGAGAGAAGTGTCAGATGCCCGGGGTTGAGCCTGAGCAGGTCTGCAATGGGCTTGCAGCCTGCAACCTCAGCAAGTGCTGGGAGGACAGGCTAGGTGAGGGCTCCCATGAGTGACCAGTGACCCTGGAGGTGGGGTGACCGACAGAGTCTGTGTGTGTCCAGGGAGCAGGCCGCTGCTGTGTGGAGGGGCAGAAGAGTGTGAACTGGCAAGACTCAGGAGGGGCGGGCTGAAGACTAGGGAGTTGACCCTTCGTTCCAGGAAGCGGTAGATCAAATTCCCCTTCGTTGGCCTGAAATCTGAGAAATGCAGGTCTTCCCCTTCTCAGGGGAAAAGGGCAGAGAGAACGAAACTCAGCCTTAACATCAGCTTTCAAGGCAACCACGTGATTCACCAGCACCTTTATTAGAAACGTACATTTTTGTGATTGCAAAAAATGTGGTTTTTGTCAATTGCTACAAGAAATCCTTGTCCAGAACTTGTAGCAGCTCCCTACTTAGGGTGGGTGAATGTTGAGGACACGGCTCTGACTGGACACCAGTCACATCTGTCCCAGGAGGGGCTATGGAAAGACCCTGAATACTCGCCTGGGAGCAGCCTTCATCACCGGTGCATAAATGCTGTGTGGCAATCGGTTCATGCGTGGGGATGAGAAGTGACCCTCCAGAACCAGAGGCCCAAGTATCCTGAGACCATGAAAAGCAGCAGAACAGCCTGAGATCCCCCCAAGGGGAATGTCACTGCTCATTGTGAAGGCACCTAAGAAGCAAGTAGCCACAGATTTGAAAAATAGTTATTTCTCTAAGGCCCTGTGTAAGGAGATGGAACCCCAGAGGCAGAGCCCAAGGGCGATGCTGGGTCGGATTCGAAGCACATGCTCTTCAGGGGCAGAGCACCCACCAGTGTGGGTGACCACACACATCAGAGAAAATGTGGCAAACACAGTATAATAACTGACGTCAGAAAAGCCCATCTGTGCTTTTCTACACAGTGTATATATTTTCTCATATGTTTCCTTCTTTACAAAGCTGGGGACACTGGGCCTCGAGGACAGGCTGCTTGTCCTGTTCAGCAAGCCTCACTCCTGGGCTCGGTGAGTCCCGTGAGAACCTCTTGACCACGAAGGGGCTGGCTTAACAAAGCTGCTTCCATCAGGCCTGGAGCCCAGCTTCAGGGGGCAATTTCTTGTGCAAGTTCATCCCGCTCTACAGCTCTGACCTAGGAGGGGCCCTAGCTGCGGGGCAGTTTCACGTCACCCACCATGTGCCCTAATCTCACCCACACGAAGCTCTGATTTGAGTTGCAAGACTCAGCAAAGGTGATGGGTGATCAAGTGCTTCCTGCCTGTGATGCTGGTACTGGAGGGGCCTGCAAGCAGGCCTGTGATGGGCTGGCTAACACCTGTGTCCTGGGCAGTTTTGGGGGTGAACGGGGCAGGGCCACTTCTGTTCTGTGTGCTGCTGTGGCTCCAGCTCCAGGCATATGAAGTATCTGTTGAAGGTGTGGAGGCCCAAAGGCTGGATCCGAGCTTAGGGGGGACAGTGTGTCTAGGACCTCAGCAACCGCCAAGGCGATGCACGATATCCCACCACATGCAGCTTTGCCAAGGTCATAGCTGGAAGGCCTTCTGGTGCCTCTGGAGGGAGGCAGGGCCTAAGCGAGCCAGTGCTGCCCTCTGCAGGTCCGGGTTTGCTGGGGGTGACACTCCCCTCTTTAGAGGCTGGGTCAGCTGGGAGGAAATGCAGTCACTCACAGGCGGAGCCCAGAACCCCAGAACCGCTGCAACGGAGATCGCGGCTGAGACGCTGCTCTTGAGAATGTGTGATGCAAAATCACAATAGAGACAGAAAATTATCTGCAATGGAGGTTTCTGCTGGGAAGGCATCTGCTCAATAGAAGCAGGAGGATGGCTTTTTAAAATGACAGGATTCCCAGCCCCTGGCCAATTGTTAACAGAAAGCTAGTGACTTTGACACAAAATAGTAACCACGGAACCACAGGGGTCATAGTCTGGGCACCCAGAAGGTACCCGCCCAAGTTCAGACTCTGGGGGTGCTGTGGTCCCTGGGGGAGAGCAGGGGGTCAGGAGGAGACTCCTGACGTGGGGGTGTCCAAGTCCCAGGACATGAGGGACAGTGTGCTGCCGGTGCTCTCGTTCTCGCGCTGGAGGCCCCGGGCCTGCTGGTCCTCCTCGACGAGGTCCGCCACCAGGTTGAGCCGGCAGGCCCGCAGCGCCTCCACCAAGTGGGCTGCGGCTGCGTTCTCCCCCGAGGAGCTCTTCCAGACACGCAGCGACTCCCGCACCTGTTCTGTCAGGTTCCGGGGATACTTCACCTCGATGGCGTCGATCTTGGAGTCAGACACTTTGAGCTGACGGGCCAGTCGTCTCCAGTCCTTCCCCACGTGGTCACATATGATGTCAAACGCTGCACAGAGGTCTAGGGGAGGGAAGGACAAGATGACTGACCAGAGGCTTTGGGGTGCTCCTCAGGAGACAGATAACCTGATGGGCTTCTCATGCTGACCCAAGTGCTGGGCACACAGAGGTCCTCCTGCAAAGGCCGAAGTCACCCGGTCGCAGAGGGGCCGGGAGGTCAGAGGCCCAATAGTAGCTTCTGATCCTCCCCAGCCAACGCTGCCTCAGAACGCTACCCAGGAGGTATGGCCTGCTGGCGACCCCATGGCTGGGGCGGGCTGTAGTGAGGCTATCTGCTTAGGACAGGGGAACCGGAGGAAGGGGCTGGGAGTTGTCCGAAGGAAGGAAATGGGGTTACTTCTCTATCCCAACTGGAACTGTGGTCCTGAAAGGACATATCCATGTCAAACCCCTGGAACCACCAATGTTAACTTGTTTAGAAAAGGGCCTCTGCAGGTGTGATAGAGTTGAAGCCCTTGAGATGAGGTCATCCTAGATTATGCAGGACACTAAACCCAGTGACGAATGTCCTGATAAGACATACACAGAAGAGGCCACGTGACCATGGAGGCAGAGACTGGAGTGATGTAGCTACAGCCAAGGATGCCTGGAGCCCCAGAAGCTGGATGAGGCAGGAAGGATCCTCCTCCAAAGCCTTAGGAGGGAGCGTGGTCCTGAGACACCTTGATTTCTGATTTTAGCTCCCAACTGTAAGAGTCCATTTCTGTTCCTTTAAGCCACCAAGTCTGTGGGGATTTGCATGGCGGCCCCAGATTGACCACCAGTCTCTAGTCCCTGGCTACCATGCTCTGAAGTGCTGAAGTTACTGCTGAGGTCAGTGAGCCGGGCACTATAGAAAACATAAGACTGTTCTGGAATGGGGAGGGAAAGGGGAGGAGGGAATGCTGCATGGACGGCTCCTACAAACTCTCATCTCCAGCTACAAGCCCGAGACACTTGTGTTATGATGACCGTTTGTACAAATAAGGAAAACGAGCACAGAGAAGGCCAGTGTTTTTCCCAGGTGACACAGCTAGACCACGGCACAGCCGGGATGCACGGCCCTGTGGGTCTGAATCATTAGGCTAAATCACCTTCTGCAAGAGTCACAAAGAATCACCCCTTATCAATCCCTGCACCGGCTCTCAACCTTCTAGTGCACTACCTACCCTCCAACATACAGTAACTACACACACAAAACACACACATAAACCTAAACTGCTATCTATAGCATGTGATCTGCCTTCTAAACATACCAGATCAGCGTTCTCCCTCACCAAATATCCTTGAAAATAGTTTTCCGATGTTCCAGTTTGTTTGCCTAGCACTGCGTGTGTGCATACATATAAATATATAAAACCTCAATTTGCCTACTCTTAGGCGGAGCTGTGCTGTCAGCCTGCCATCAGTGTCCCATTTATACCCTCTTTGGGTTCAATGATAGAATGACGGAGTCCAGGCTACAGCCTGAAGCCTGTGAGGGGTGCCCCAGGCTCTGAGAACACGGCCTTTGGCTGAGAAACTCCACTTAACTCCAGCCTCACTTTTACTCCTGGAAACCTCTGCAAGCCACAGGCGCAGGGGGCAGAGGGGGTGCCTGAGAGCGGGGTAGGCCCCGCTACACAGCGGACTCGATCAGAGGGGCAGTTTAGCGCCTAATACCCGCCGCCCGGAGGCCACAGTGCCCGGCTTCGGCCGCAGCTCCCAGCTCCGTCGGTGCCTGGCCAAGCAGTAGGGGCACAGCCCTGAGCCGACCCCGCCCCTGCAAAAGGGGGACGGCGGCAGGCGAAGCACCAGGGACGGGCTTACTGTGAGCACTCACAGGTGACGCGCTGGCATCAGCGAGGGCAGGCCTGCCGGGCGCGCCCATCG